TTGCAGTGCCCTCTGGTGGCCATATGGGATTTGACATTTGGTATTCTATATATTTTCCTTATTTATTTTTTCATTGTCTATTCCTCTCGCCTCACCACCCCACTCCCCACTCTAGAATATAAACTCCATGAGGACAAGAATTTTTCTCTGTTTATTCATTGTTGCATTCCCAACATCTAGAATAGTGCCTGGTGCATGGTAGGCATTCAATATCCACCGAATAAATGAAAGACACAGATTTCAAACCTTGCTCCACCACTTTATTGCTGCATGACCCTGGGCAGCTCTCTTTATAAAGCCTCAGTTTCCTCATGGGTAAAATGGAGATGCTCACATGTGTCCTTCACGGAGCAGCCACTGTCATGAACTGAGGGAGGGAGCCTATTTGCCAGACACGTGCACTCATCCGTGCTTGTTCTTTACCCTCCACCAGCTCGTGATGATGACACGTTATATACTGATTGTACCACATCTTTCATTAGCAACTGATTGGATGGGCACACTTACCATTATGGGTATGGGCTTGACGCTGGACACAGGGCAGCCTGGGGAAATAATCCAGGCCTGATCCCAAGCTGGCCAGGCAAGGAGGAAATGAAACCAGATGGACAGGGGGCCACCAGGTGAGGTGTGAGATCCATCTTCTTCCATTCACCCCCTGTCTGCCACCCCTACAGCCACACTCAACGCTTCCTGCTGCCCTGAACCAATAGGCTCAATGGGCCGTCTGAGCCTCTGCAGATGCTGTTTCCTCTGCCTGCACTCTCGCTATCCCACTCCATTAACACAACAGCGTACAAGCCATCTTGGGGGCTGCATCAGTCTCCTCATTAATTTCCTTGCAGCCACTCTGGCCTCTGCAAATGCATCTTCCCGCAGCAGACTCAATCTAAACTGCAAATATGCTTATCTCACTTTCCAGCTTAAATCTGATTGTTCTCGGGATAGAGTCCAAGTCCTCTGACCTACCGTTTTGTGGTCTGGACCCAGGCCATCTCCTAGCCACCTGGCCTTTCCCAACCATGGCTTCAAATCTTACACCAAACAATCCAAGCCGTTTCCCACCTCTGGGCTTCTGTCCCTGTAGACCTCTCTGCCAGGAAATCCATTCCCCTGCAAGGGGGTGAATGTGTTGCTTTTGCTGCCCAGAATCCATTCTCTCTTCCTCTGGTAATGGAATCCACACCCAAGCTTGCAGATCTTTATGTTCCTGTAGGACTGACCAATCCCTGCGCTCAGGGGTGAGCTTGAGACTCAAACCTGGCAGAATGCCTTTAAAAAAATTTGTTTTTGATTGGAATGCCTGCGGGTGCAACATGCATTCTCCAGTTGGTCAAAGCACGCCTCCCTTTGTCTTATACCAGCTTCACCCATTTATCTTATCTGTCTGGACCCTAGAGGATTTGTGACTCCTGGCACATGCCCCTCCCTTCTGCCCCTGTTGTTGTCAGGTACCGTCCAGTCAGTGCCAACTCATAGCGACACTATGTACAACAGAACCGAACCCTGCCTGGTCCTGTGCCATCCTCACAATCGTTATTATGCTTGAGCCCATTATTGCAGCCACGGTGTCAATCCACCTCATTGAGGGTCTTCCTCTTTTTCACCGACCCTCTACTCTACCAAGCATGACCTTCTCCAGGGACTGGTCCCTCCTGATAACACGTCCAAAGTATGTGAGACAAAGTCTCGCCATCCTTGCTTCTAAGGAGAATTCTGGCTGTACTTCTTCCAAGACAGATTTGTTCATTCTTCTGGCAGCCCATGGTATGTTCTCCCTTCCCTCTATTAGGCTTGAATTACCTCCTGGATCCCAAATGTTTTGATTTCTAATTCCCAGCTTGCCCATGGACCTTAACTTCCCTGCCCAGGAAGTCTCCCTGGTTCTATGGCGGTTCAGCTCTCCCCTTCAGGTATGAGGAGCTGGGGCTGGGAGGCCTAAACTCTCTGGGGCAGGGAAGGCAGCCTGGCTGAGCGTGTCCATGTCTTCCCTGGAGGGAGGGCAGGCTCAGGGGTGGAGGTGCGGATTAGAGAGGACAGGTGCAGCTCCAGGTGGCCCCTCTGGGCTGTGTTTCATGGGGATGGCTCCTTCGGTTCAGGGCAACACCAGAGGTAGTGTCCAGCTCTGCCCAGCATCTCTGCTAAAGGAATTCTCGTGGTGCTCCGAGCCTGGCCGTGGCAAGTGCTTAGCACATGCTTGCTGAATGAAGAATGAAGGTCTTGGTCTGTTCGGGACTTTCACTTCAGAAAGGAGCTCACTGTTTTTTTTTGTTTTTTTTTTTTTAATCTACCCCTTTCCCAGGCCCCTCACTGTTCTCTAGGGTTGAGGAGGGGAAAAGTGTTAGGCATCTGCCTCAAGGCAGCCTGGGACCCCCAGAGGCCCCCTGGGGAAGAAGCCTTTGTGGAGAAGAGGCAAAAGTGGAAAAGAGAACCAGTTCTGGGAGGGGAGAGGCAGTCCCAGACTGGAGCCGCTCTGGGAAGAGTCATCTTGGGGACCATCTTCACCCTAGGAACCTTTCATGCTCAGTTCCTCCCAGAGCCACCCTAGAAGGGTTAGAGAGAGACGAGCCTGAGGCTGAAGGTGAGGGCAGACGAGGCCTCCAGAGTGGGCAGGACCTCGGGTGTGTTTGCTTGGGGAGCGGCCTTGAATCCACTGCTGGGCTGCAGCTGAGGACACTGAGCCCGCCTGAGTCACCGAGGAAGGGAGTTTGAGGCTTGAACGCGGACCCCCGCCTGCCCCATCCCCCACTCCCTTGGATGACCTTTGCTCTGGACCCAGCTACTCTGTACCCTCCTCCAACTAATGCTACCCCCATGGAATCAGTCACTAAAAGGCCTTCAGCACAGAGTGGAGGGGGTTCCTCCATTCTGGGCGGAACCATGGCAGAGCCTGTTGGGGACCCTGGAAGTGAGGCATGGACAAATCTTCACCTCCACCAAAGAGGTAATAACAGTAGCCAGAGGTGAGAGGCAAAATACTCAATAACTGGAACAACATGGGCATCAGCCAAGTGGAATGTTCCAGCTGAATTTTAGGCCTGATTCCACATGTCTTCAAATATAAGATGCCATTGATTGTAAAACAGGCAAATTACCCCTGAAAAGGAAAATTGCCAATTAAACTATAACCAATGCTTTCTTATCACATACGATTTCTATTTTATACTTATTGAAAAAGCTCTTTGGGGCTTATTTCAACCATAGATGTTTATCGTATTTCGCTGTTGTACAGATATAAAAAAAGAAACTATAAGCCGTATGCACAGGTCGTAGCAGCCGCATGATGACAGCTGCCCAGCGGAGACACCACGATTAAAAGATGCACTTGAATACAACCAAACACTTCGAGGGACAGAGTAGCAGGGGCGGGGGTCTGGGGACCATGCTTTCAGGGGACATCTAGGTGAATTGGCATAACAAAGCTTTTTAAGAAGAAGTTCTGCATCCCACTGTGGTGAGTGGCATCTGGGGTCTTAAAAACTAGCAAGCAGCCATCTAAGATGCATGAGTTGGTCCCAGCCCACCTAGAGTAAAGGAGAATGAAGAACACCATGGACATAAGGAAAGTATTAGCCCAAGAGACAGAAAGGGTCACATAAACCAGAGACCTCATCAGCCTGAGACCAGAAGAACTAGATGGTGCGCGGTTACTACCAATAAATGTCCTGACAGGAAACACAACAGAGGGTCCCTGATGGAACAGGAGAAAAGTGGGGTGCAGAACTTAAATTCTAGTAAAAAGACCAGACCTAATGGTTTAATTGAGACTGGAGGGACCCTGGAAGACATGGCCCCTGGACTCTCTGTTAGCCCAAAACTAAAACCATTCCCGAGGCCAACTCTTCAAAGATTAGACTGGACTATGGGACATAACATGATACTCGGTGTGATGGTTAAGATTGTGTGTCAACTTGGCTGGGCCATGATTCTCCGTGTTTTAATGTAATCACTCCCATGATTGAATATACCAGGAGTAGCCAATCAGATGAAAGGGAGTCTCCTTGGGGGTGTGGCCCGCATCTGTATATAAGCAGGCGTTCTGGCGTTTTGCTCTCTCTGGATCCTGCGGCTGCTTCCTGTCGTCTCATCTCCCGTTCTTGGGACTTGAGCTGTCAGCTTTTCTTATCTGCCGAACCTGGGATTCATTGATCTGCACAGCCTGTGAGTGGGAGCCCTGCTCTCCAATCTTCTGATCTTTGGCTTGCTGGCTTCTGCAGCTGTGTGACTTGGTAGAGGCCTCTATCCTGATCCACGGACTTGGGACGTTCTAGCCTCTACAATCGCGTGAGCTGTTTCCTTGATATAATCTCTCTCTCTGTATATATTTATACACTTTACTGGTTTTGCTTCTCTAGAGAACCCAACCTAAGACACTTGTGGAGAGTGTAATTCGTAGCTCAAGTAGATACATGAGACTAAATGGGCAGCTTCTGTCCAGAGGCGAAATGAGAAGGCAGGGAGGGTCAGGAGCTGGTTGAATGGACACAGGAAATCCGGGGTGGAAAGGAAGAGAGTGCTGTCAAAGTATAGGGAGAGCAAGTAGGGTCACAAAACAATGTATGCATAAATTTTTGTATGAGAGACTAACTTGAATTGTAAACTTTCACTTAAAGCACAACAATAAAAAATAAATAAATAAAAGGCGGGGGGAGATGCACCTAACTTCAGAGAGGATACTATATAAAGAAAAAAGTGCATCTTGAAAAAGATGAACTACGGTCGTTTCTAACATTTACTGAGAGCTGACTGTGCCAGACACCATGTTAAGCGCTTGACACGAACCATCTCATTTATTCATTCATCTCCCTCAAAACCCTCCTAAGCGTCTTTTATTAGACTCATTTTACAGATTAGGAAACTGAGGTGGGTGGAGGAGAAATAAGCCCTGCCCAGTCACCCAGCAGTAGGGGCAGAGCCAGGCCACTGTACACAGAGATGTTTAACCTCGAGGGTTCCGGGCAAACCACGGTATCCCACGTCCAGTATCATCCTCTTCTGCTTTAGGACCGGCGGGTATGAGGCGCTGGGGTGGTCCCTTCAGCAAACAGCTTGAGGGAGAAATCGAGGGCCTGGGCAGCCTGGGTCAGCATCCCCAAGGAGATGACATCGATGTGGGGCCCACAGAACTGAGGGAGGTTGCCCAGTGTGATGCCCCCGCTGGCTTCCACACCCACGCTTGGGAACCGGGCCTTCAGCGCTGCGGCCGTGAGGTGCAGCTCCTGTGGGACACAAGCTGCGGGTTGGTGAGAGCCACAGTAACACAACCCCTTCCTAAGAAACATACTGCCTCACCTCAGGCCTGAAGTTGTCTAGCAGGACAAGGTCTGCTCCTGCCTGAGCCGCCTCCACAGCCTCCTGCAGGCTGCTGCACTCGACCTCCACCTTCAGGGTGAAGTTGGCTGCCCGCCTGGCCCCTTGTACTGCCTGTCAGGGGAGGCCAGCACGTGAGGAGGGTTCTGAGGGCAGGGGGCACAGTGAGCGGGGGCTGGCATTCAAAAGGACCCAGATGGATAACAAGTTTGGGGTTAATGAGGACACTGAAGGATGGTTTCTGTTATATTAGGTTAAATTACATGAGATGACCACTTCTGTGGGTCATAAATGGTCAACTATCAACAATATTTGGCATTTGGACCTGAGCTCAATTCAACTCGGAATATTAAAACTGGAAAAGGTCTTCAAGAACATTTTTACAGAAGAGGAAACTGAGGTCCAGAGAGTTACAGTGACCTGCCCAAGTCCATAGAGCCATGGACACTAGGGTTCCCAGTGGTTCGTCATCTGCTGTTGAACATCATGTCAAATAACAGATGAGTGATTGTAAAGCAGAAAGTCTAAGCCCTTATTTTACAGATGGAGCCAATGAGGGGTCAAACAGACTTTCGTCCCAGACTCCTAGAACAGCACTCTTCACCAGGTGTGGGTGAGGGTCTCCGGTAGAGGCTGCGAGGGGGGTGAAGTTGGGCCAGGGCCAGGGCAGGGGCTCAGCCACACACGTACCTTTTCCACCCCACCGGCTGCCACAACGTGGTTGTCCTTAACCATCAGCAGCCCTCCAAGGTCGTAGCGGTGGGAGTCAGCCCCACCCACAAGGAGCCCATACTTCTCCACCAGCCGGAAGCCTGGCGTGGTCTTCCTTGTGCCTGCCACACGGCCAGTCCAGCCGGTCCCCCTGGCAGCCTCCACAGCAGCTGCAGCAGCACTGGCCACTCCACTGCAGCGGGCCAGTGTGTTAAGGGCCACCCGTTCCCCCAGCAGCAGGCAGTGGGCGGGGCCCCGGACCTCAGCCACCTTGGCCACGGGCACCAGCTTCGATCCCTCAGGGAGGGACCAGGAGACCTCACAGTTAAGTTGGGCAAAGACGGCATCGAAGAAAGGCCGCCCAGCCAGGACCCCAGGGGACTTGGCCCATAATGCTGCCTGCGAGGGAGCTGCTCCAGTGACCAAGGCTGTGTAGTTGAGACCTGGGCAGTCCTCTTGAAGCCAGGCGGCTGCCAGGGCTGCCAGGGTGGCAGGGGGCAGCAGGAGGGCCAGGCCTGGGAGGGAGGAAGAGAGAACAGCTGTTACATATCGACTACCTCTCCTGTAGCCAGGGATGATAGTCCAAATATTTAGCGACCAGTTAAATTGAGCACCAACCAATCTGAGTGAAGATCTGGGGATCCCAGGGGAGGGTCTGGGGTGGAGGGTGGGGCCCCGTGGGTGGGACAAGGTTGTCAGATTGAACAAATAAAAATACAGGACACCTAGTTAAATTTAAATGTCTGATAAACAGTGAACTATTGTTTTAGTGTGAATATGTCCTAGGCAATATTTTGTTGTCGTTGTTAGGTGCTGTCAAGTTGGTTCCGACTCATAGTGACCCAGAACGAAACATGGCCTGATCCTGCGCCATCCTTACAATTGTTGTTATGTTTGAACCCATTGTTGCAGCCACTGTGTCAATCCATCTCAAAGGCATTTGACTGTGTGGATCATAACAAATCATGGATAACATTGCAAAGAATGAGAATTCCAGAACACTTAATTGTGCTCATGAGCAACCTGTACGTAGACCAAGAGGCAGTTGTTTGAACAGAGCAAGGGGAAACTGCATGGTTAAAAATCAAGAAAGGTGTGTGTGTCAGGGTTGTATCCTTTCACCATACTTATTCATTCTGTATGCTGAGCAAATAATCCAAGAAACTGGACTATACGAAGAAGAATGTGGCATCAGGATTGGTGGAAGACTCATTAACAACCTGCATTATGCAGATGGCACAACCTTGCTTGCTGAAAGTGAAGAGGACTTGAAGCACTTACTGACGAAGATCAGAGACCGCAGCCATCAGTGTGGATTACACTTCAACACAGAGAAAACAAAAATCCTCACCACTGGACCAATAAGCAACATCATGATAAATGGAGAAAGGCAATATTTAGGACATACTTATATTAAAAACTTATCCCTTGTTTACCTGAAGTTCAAATTTAACTGGGTAGCCTATATTTTATTTGGCAAACCTAGTGCTGGAGCAACAGTTATTTACCACCTGGAAGAAAAGTACAGTGAAATCTGTGAGAGCTGGAACTCAACAGGACTGCCTTATTTTTAGTTTTCCGCCTTTGACAGAGCACAGTCTTACCATTTTTCCATCACTCATTTTAGTGGAAAATAGTTGCGTTTTCCTTCTCTGACAGGTTTTGCCTTACACAGGTTCCAGCTTTCACAGGTTTTACTGTATTTCAATAATTTAACAGCCATATAACCATCCTGGGCATGCCACCCAGATGTCACCGTGCAGCCATTCTGGTCGGCCTTGCATAGGATTGGTCATTTACGAGCTGAAGCCCCACTAGAATGTGAGTTTGGGGGTGGGGGTGGTGAGGGAGGATGTCTTCTTCATCCTAGTCTTCTCTACAGCACCAAATATTTTAAAGTTGAAAGTTCAGTTTTTTGCAGACGTGGAGACTGAGAAACAGAGAGGGAAGGCAGATGTACTGAGGTCACACAGCAAATTGGCGGCAGAGTCAGAATCAGCCAGGCCATGGCCGGCTGTCCCTTCTGCCTTTGCTCTCTACCTCGGAGATACCTCCACTACTGAGGGGTCAACAGACTGTCGTCTCTCCAGCGATGGGGGCTGCACAAGGAGGAAAGGGCGCAGGAAAATTGGGTTTGAGACCCTGCTGTGCAAAGCACAGCTTCAGGAGCATATTGCCTGTAACATAAGGGTTATGGACAAGGTGGTCTCTAAGGCCCTTCCTGCCCAGAGTGTAGCGCTAATGGACTCTTCATTACTGTTGGATGAAATCTCCGCAAAGGCAGGACTTAGACGTGATACAACATCGCCATCTGTCGGCCAGGTCAAGACCTGCAGCCTCCTGGCACGAACGGCATCGGCCACAGAAGGACTTCGCTCGATGGGAGTTGGGAGAGGAAGGGGTGGGGCAGCTGGGAGAGACATGTAAATAGCACGTGAGAGGTTTTTTTGTTTTGTTTTCCCTCACTTTTGCTTGCAGGTTAAAAATACCTCCAAGTTGAAGGTAAGGCTGGGCATTCTAGCTTGCTAGAAGCAGGCACCCTCGTGTCTAGCCCTTCTTCCCCTAAGCGCCCCTCTTCACCCACCCACCCCCTTCTCCTCCTGAGCCACAGCCCTCAGTGACTGCATCTGGCCCTCCCTGCCTGAATTCTCACCCATGACTGTCTCAAGGGGTTTCCATTCTTCCACTCAGTGCTAGCTGTGCCCAGGCTGGGTGCTGAGAACAAAGACAGTAGAAGGGACAAAGACGTGGCCCTGGCTCCATCAAGTTCCTGGTCTAGATAGAAAAGAAGCCCGTGAGCAAACAGTTTTTATGCAGACACCCCTCAGTCCATTCCAACAGTGTGCTGTTGTAGCCGAAGTTGAGTTGGGCCAGACTCATGGTGACGCTGTGCGCAATGGGATCGGACCATTGAGATCCACAGGGTTTTCACCGGCTGATTTTCAGAAGTAGATCGCCAGGCCTTTCTTCCTAAACTAGGCACAGTGATCTGTTTTAAAAAGCGAATTTGAATCCTTCAACTAGTGAGTGGATAAACAAACTGTGGTGACCTATACAATGGAATTCTACTCAGCAATAAAAAGCAACTAACTACTAATACATTATATGAAGTAAAAGAAGCCAAACTCAAAAGTCTCCCCACTTATGAGTCCATTCAAATGACAATCTAAAAAAAGCAAAGCTATAGGGACAGAAAATCGGCCAGTTGTTGTCTGGGGGCAGGGAGGGTTGACCACAAAGGGGCAGCCAGAGAGTTTCTGGGTGTAGTTCTGTGTTTGACCATGGTGGTGGTCACTGACCGATGTGTTTGTCAAGAATCATAAAACTGCATGTCGATAAACCTGACTTTAACATAAAACAACAAAAAAGCAAATTTCAGTGGATCATTCTGCTTAAAATCTCACTTTCACTACATTAGCTGCAGCTATCTTAACTTCTTTCATTTATGCTTTTGACAAATCCTTGCAAGCACCCGTACTGTGCTGGGTGCAAATTGCTGGGCTACATGGTGATGGTGGGTGGCTCATTATCCTACCTTTCAGGCTCTTTCAGGGTGACTCTGCCTGGAAGCCCCCTCTCTTAACCCTCACCCCTAACCTCTCCCTTCATCCTCCCCTCACCTCTGGCCCCTCCTTCAGGTTTCCTCTTAAACATCCCTTCCTGGGGGCCCTTTCAGGCCCCTAAATTATATCATGCGCCCTCTCAGCTTTCTGTTTTTCCCCACCATCATGTTCTCTGAAGGCAAAGACTGTCCTCAGAGTTTTCTGCTGTATCCCAAGTGCCTAGCACACAGAGCCATACAAATGTGCTGCCTTTATAGGTCAAAAACAGTCAATTAATGGCATTTTCATATAGGTTAGCTTAACAGTGAAGTGTTCGATGATACTCATTCAACCAGAAAGGCCAATAATAATTTAAAAAAAAAAATCAAGTTGATTCTAACTCATAGCAACCCTATAGGACATAGTAGAACTGCCCCATAGGGTTTCCAAGGAGTGGCTGGTGGATTCGAACTGCCGACCTTTTGGTTAGCGGCCGATCTCTTAATCACTGTGCCATTAGGGCTCCAGAAAGACTGATAGTGGAGTGAATTAGAGCCCAACTCTGGGGCCACACCACCTGGGTTCCAATCCTGGCTCTGCCACTTGTAGCTAAGTGATCTTGAGCAAGTGACTTGACCTCTTGGGGGCCTTGGGTTCCTCATCTTTAATGGGGTAATAATAATAGCCACCTCATAGAGTTGTTACAAAAACTAATATTTGAAAAGCACTTAGGAACATTGTCTGGCACATAGTAGGAGTGTCTGCTAAGAAAAAATGACTGAAATATTACTAAGTGTTGTGTGGGCATAGAGGAAGAAATGACGGAGTGTCTCCGAGGAAGGGGGAGGCAGTTTTAGTGGCATTGAAGGATGAGTAATGTTTGCCAGGCAGAGCAGTGGGGTGGCAGGAGATGGGCAAGACATTCCAGGCCGAAAGAGCAGGTGGTGTTTAAAGACTCAAAAGCAAGAAAATAGAAGGGGGGCGGGCGGTGAGTGCCGAATTCACGGGAGAAATGGCGGGAGGTGAGGCCAGAGTGGAAAAGGACTGAATTATTTAGCTGAGGAGTTTGGACGGGTCCTAGGACCCATCCCAGGTTTTAAGCGAAGGAGCGATTTTACTATGGAATATGATTATGGTTTTGCTCTACAAGGATCACTTCAACCGCCAACTGGAGATGGATTGGGAGGCAAAAACAGGCTGAGGCCACTGGCCAGACAAAAAGCAATGAAACCCTGAATGTGGGCAGTAACCACGGGGATAGGGAGGAGGGGCAAATGTGACAGCTGTTTCTGAGGAGGATCAACAAGAATTTGCAGCTAATAAGAGGACCCCTAATGGCACAGTGGTTAAGCACTAGGCTGCTAACCAAAAGGTTGATGGTTTAACCCTACCAGTAGCTCCGTGGGAGAAAGATGTAGCTGTCTGCTTCTGTAAAAATTTACAGCCTTAGAAACCCTTGGAGGCAGTTCTACTCTGTCCTATAGGGTCACTATGAGTAGGAATCAACTCAACAGCAGTGGGTTTGGCTTGGGTTTTGGAAGATGTGGAAAGGCGCAGTGGTGGTTCAGTGCTAGAATTCTCACCTTCCATGCAGAAGACCTGGGTTCGATTCCTGGTCAGTGCACCTCATGCACAGTCACCACCCATCTGTCAGTGGAGGCTTGTGAGTTGCTATGATGCTGAACAGGTTTCAGCAGAACTTCCGGACTAAGATGGACTAGGAAGAAAGGCCTTGTGACCTACTTCCGAAAATCAGCCACCAAAAACCCTATGGATGACAATAATTCAATCCCCAACCAATCATGGGGATGGCGCAGGACCAGGCAGGGTTTGGTTCTGCTGTGCATGGGGTGGCCATAAGTCAGGGCTGACTTGATGGCAGCTAACAACGATAAGTTATGAAAGAGGAAGGAGTGGAAATTTTAAAAAATAACCAGCCTTGGGTTTCTGTCCTGGGTAGCGGACAACTGACCCAGGGAGCTCAGAGAGAGAAGCAGGTTGGCGCAGAGGATGGGGACAGCAGCAGAAGACGTGACCCGCACTTACCGGGTGCCTGCAGTCACTCCAGTTCTCCTATGCTATCTCACTAGAAACGCCCCACAAGGGATTATTCTCATTTTCACGTGTTGTGGGAACATAAAGGAAGAAATGACCCAGTGTCCCCAAGGAAGGAGGAGGCAGTTTTAGTGGCCTTGAGTAATGTTTGCCAAGCAGAGCAGTGAGGTGGGAGGAGGCTGGCAAGACATTCCAGACTGAATCTAAAAGAGTTCCCGTATGGCCCTGAGGACACAGCTTATAAAGGACAGAGCTGGGGGGGAAATAATGAGTTTGGTTTTGCAGTTGTTAAAGTTGAAATGCCAGAAGGAAATGTGGATGACAGTGTCCAGATAGCATGTAGAAGAATGGCCTGGAGTTCAGAAGAAATACTGTGGTGAGGAACAGAGATTTTGGAGCCACCAGCATAAATGATGGCAACTGAGAATAGCAGTGGGTGAGATTACCCAGAGCAGGTAAGAAGAGAAGGGCTCTGGGAAACACCAGTATTTAAAAGACATCAAAATATAGAAGCAGCACTAGGAGAGTGGGTGTCTGGGACAGAGAAGAGAGTTTCAAGAAGTAGGGTGTGGGCAGAAGCAACTAGAGCTGAAAATGGGCGTTTGGACTTAGCAACTGGGAAGCCTTCGCCAGACCAATTTTCGTGACGTGTGGTAGGGGTAGAAGCTAAATCGTCAAGGTCGAGGAGTGCATGGACATGAGGAAGTGGAGGCAGTGGATGTAAACATTCCTTTCAGAGGAAGTTGATAAAGCAAAGTCCTCAACCTGAATTGCACATTACAATCACCTGGGGGGCTTTACAAACCCTCAGATAATCAGGCCCATCCCTGACCAACTGAGTCGGGATCTAGGGGGTGGTGTGATTCCCCGGCATCCAGGTTTGGAAAACTCCTCTCCCCACCTCCCCATCTCTGTGACTCAGATGCACATGAACATTAAGAAGCAATGTTCACATAAGATCACTTATTGTATACCTCCATTTATACGAAATGTCCAGAAAAAGCAAATTGATCAGATTAATGGTTGCTAGGGGCTGAAGATTAACTATGAATGGTCACAGGATCTTATTGTGGTAGTAGAAATGTTCTATGGTAAAGATTTCACAGCTCAATAAATTTATTAAAACAAACAAAAGAACCAACACTTGGAGGCAAGGCTTGAAACATTTTGCAACCCTTAGTGAACCAACGGATCCAGGTTTTGAGCATCAATGGCCAACACTGCAAGAAGACAACCAGACACCTGTTGGAAAAACACACCACCTCCTGTGAAATACTCTTGCCAAAAAAAACTGAGCCTGAATCCCATTAGACTTCTAGATGCAAACACTAATTTACAAGAAAACCAGAGGACAGAGGAACATGTTAACCTATACCATGAGGACGCGACCAGAAAAATCCAGACCATGGGAAACTCTACCAGAAAAATAACTTAATAACTTAGTATCTTCAACAGATACATTGCAAGGAAAACAAAATGTTAAAACACATATAACAAATCACAACATGTGGTCAACATTTATGACACCACTGAAAATCTGGACATTGACTGGATATTTGATAACATTAAGGAAATTTTTAAAAATTTAGTTGTGATCATGGTATTGTGGTTGTAATAAAAAGTCTTTATCTTTTAGAGAAACAGCTGAAATGCATAAAAAGATATTACAGCTGGTTTGTTTTCAAATAATACTGGAAGGTAGATAGTAGATAGGGGTGTGATTGGAGCTGGATTAGCCACAAATTAATGGTTGTTGGGGCTGGGTGATGGGTACCTGGGGGTTCATCATACTTTTCTTTCTACTTTTGTGTATGCTTGAAATTCCCTATAATAAAAAATAAGTTCAAAGATAGACAAGGAAAGGAAAGAGAGGGCCAGCACTTGAGATATTGGGACCAGGTCAAGGAAATTTTTTAGGATGAAGTAAAACAGTGGTTCTCAATCTTAGCTGCAATGGGAATTGCTGGGGAGCTTTAAAATGTACTGATGACTGCCCTCATCCACTGCGGGTGGGAATGTAAAATAGCGCAGCCACCATGGAAAACAGTTTGGCGGTTCCT